ACAAAGATTTGAAGCAGAACCGATGACCCAAATGCATTTAAATGCAACAGCAATAAAAAAAAAAAAGAGAGAACTCGAGATACGCTGAGAGAATGTGCCAAAATGGGGGAGTCAGAGAGTGATGGTGATAAAGAAGATAGATAAATAAAGTGAGATAATAAAGCAGGAAAAAAGTCAGCTTACGGCAGAAAGATATTGTTCAGAATGACATATATTGAGAATAATGTGGCAACTGTGCATGCTGCATGGCACATTTCTAAAGAAAAATAAATGTTATAAATAAAATTAGCCCTGTGGGTATTATATTCCTGTTACTTACCCCAAAAGTCCACACTAGCTCAAATAATTGCAAAAAATATATAAATTTATAAACTGATTTATACTTTTTAATGTGTTTTAAACTTGATTTAAGGCAAACTCTTAAACCAGTGAAACAAATTTTCTTTTATCCACATGAGCTAAAAGCTGTTGAAAAATACTTTTCTGTTGGCTTAATACATTTACAGTAACACATATTGATCTCTGTCTCCTATGAAAGCTAGATACAAAATGAATCACATTCCAAACAATCAACCAAATCGCAAAGTGTGAAGAAAGATAACACCCACGGATGTAACATAAAGATTTAGCTAAATCATAATGAAGTCTCATAATTAAGTTTAGAAGGTATGAAACATTTTACTCAAAAGGTCTGTCCCTATACATTATTGGAGATGACCACATTCAATTTTTGCATTATTACTTTTAAAACCATTTGTAAAAGCAGATGGGTAAAACTAGCAGATACTTTTTATGTGAATGTTTATGAAGCATTCACACTATTGTGATACGTTTTTCTTCTGTACGTTTTTTGGCGTGATTCTCGTCCCGCAGTTTTCAAGTTATTTCAACAAATCATATCAAAACGTTCAGCTCTTTCAGGACAATCCTGCTATGATTTTTTGGTATTGGTGCAACTTTAGCTTTTTGAAATATTTTGTCTTTTCTGCCATTTTTTTCTTCATAGAAAATGAATTGATCTCATTTTACATCCTTCACATCTTTAGATGTGTTTACAACCTTTCACTGCTCCATTTTGTTCTTTTTCATCTTCTTTCAGTTTCCTTGTGCAAATTGAAAAATTTTATTCAGCTACATTCAGCTAATTTCAGCTGTTTTTTTCAGCTGTTTGGTGCTCCTTTCGGATACTTTCTGTTAACTACAACATTTTTGTACTTCTTCTAACTTCTTTCTGCTAATTTCAGCTTGTTGTGCTCCTTTCAACTTATTTCTGCAAGTTTCAATCTTTTCTACTATTTCAGCTACTATTTAGCTGTTTCTTTGCTATTTTAGCTTTTCCTGCTAATTCCACTTTTGCACTAATTTCTGCTTCTTTCAGACTAATAGGGCAAAACTGTGCTCTCTCCATTTCCTTCTGGTAATTACATTTTCTTTCTGCCCTTTTAGCTACTTTTCAGATGCTCCTTTTTGCTCATTTCTGTTTTTATGTTTTTGATAATTTCCAATGCCTAACTGGGCAAATGTGTTCTTTCTGCTTTCTTCTGCTAATTTAAGCTTGTTCTACATTTTCAGCTACCTTCTTACATGTTTTTGTACTAATTTCAGCTTTTTTTCTGCTACTTTAATCCTAATTAACTCCTTTATGCTAATTTCAGCATGTTATGCTCCTTTCAGCTTATTTCTGCTAGTTTTAACTTTTTATGCTATTTCAGCTACTATTTAGCTGTTTTTATGTTAAATTTAGCTTTTTCAGCTACTTCCATTTCTTCTTTTTTTTACTCATTTCAGTTCTTTCCACTTTCTTCTCGTAGCTTAAGCTTCGTTCTGCCTTTCCAGCTACTATTCATTAATTAATTTTGCTAATTTCAGCCTTTTATTTTAGCTAATTTTCTAAATTTATTTGCAAATTTCTGCTTATTTAAACATAATTTGTCAAATATTTGTTCTTTTTGCTTTTTCCAACTAATTTATGCTTGCTTTTCCATTTCAGCATGTTTTTTTTAGTTAATTTCAGCTGTTTTTCTACAAGTTCTTCTGCAATGAGCATCCACACTACATGTTTGCAAGAAATGCAATTTCTCTAGTTTCCATTACCCATCCACATTATTTCTCATTGTTTGCACCCTTGTTTAGTGTTTGGTGGCATCAGCTGTTTTTTGAGATTCTAATATTTAGCAACAGCAAATCATTGTGCAACTGTATTGACATGAATTATATGTTACAGAATACAGAGCCATATTTAGGTTAAAAGCAGAAAAACATGTAGTAGATGGCTGTATGCATTTAATCTCATTAAGCATGCTTTTTTGTTATGAACATTAAAAATTTCTTCGAGTGCTTCTTGTAATTTCACAACAAAGAGGAAGATATGTAGTTTTTGTTTTGTTGTCAGAGAGTGTGTGAGTCCACCCCAAAGGCCTCCCTGATCTGAGCTGTCAGATGGAAGGAAAGGATGAATTTGGTGAAGCAGAGAATAGAGCAAGGCACATGTCAAATATGGGAGAATCCTGAGTAAATAAAGTATAACACAGAGCAAAGCCAAATCATTTTTCATCCCATCAAAATCGTTTATGCTTTTTTCTTCTTCTCTTTTTCTCTCCCACATCCCTGAACCCCACCTTATTTTTCCTGATCAGTTGGTGCTAAACCTGGAGTATTTCTCTGTAATTCAGTAAAAAACAAGTGAATAATCCAGTAAAGCAACATGTGATGAATTATAACTACTGCAGTTAAGATTTTTTTAGACAATCCGGTATGTCCATGAAAAGCTGTCTGAAAACAGGCATAGATGGATTCTTTGGTTGTAAAATGCATCTTTGTAAATGTTACACTTGTGAAATATTTATTTATTTATTTACTTATTAAACTTTTTTCAACCAGGCAAATCCCATTGAATTCACAGATCTCATGCAAGGGAGGCCTGGACTTGAATGTAGCCAAATGTTATGGATAAGTTTGAACCCTGTAAACCAAAATGTCAGAGAATTACATCTTTGTGCATCCATATGTACAATTTTATGTGCGTGTAAATTACATTTTTATTTGTAAAAATAATTACACGTTACATTTTTTTGTTAAAGTTTGTTTATCGATTTGAAGCAAAAAACTGTGTAAAACTGCACTGAAGTTTTCTAACTTGTGTGCGAGTTTCAAGCTAAGGCGGGATGTTTCTTCCTCTCAGCTGATTGGTCAATATCATGTCAATCACAAATTTAACAATCCAATTGGAGAACAGATGGATGTGGCTGTTTGGGTGGCACTTTACTGAGCTGCAGGTCCTGGTAGAGTAGTACATTTTAAAGGTGGAGGATGGCAGTGCTACCAAATATGATTTTCAGCAATATATACCTGGACAATGATTTTGTTTTTGTTCAACTAAACCATAAAGTAATAACTATGTGAGCTGCAGAAGCACTGGCTCCATCCTCCATCTTCAAAAGGTACTCCCCTCCAGGACCTGTAACTCCGTAAAGTGCCACCATGACAGCAAAACTTATGTTTTCTGACCGGATTGTTAAATTTGTGATTGACATGACATTGACCAGTCAGCTGAGTAGAAGAAACATCCTGTCATAATCAATATTTGCAAGTTGAAACTCACAGACAAGTTACGAATTTTGAGCACAGAGTTTTACACAAAGTTTTTTTTTTGATTTGCATCTGTAAGCAATCCTTAAAAAAAAAAAAGATTTGCGTAATTGTTATTTGCAAATATCAATCTATTTTACACACATAAACTCTTATCTATGGATGCACACAGATGTAATTTTCAAACATTTTGGTTCACAAGGTGCAAAATATATGTGACTGGAATTTATGCACATATAACATGTTTTTTTCTTTGACTGTGGGAGGAAACTGGAGCACCCAGAGAAAATCCACGCAGACATGAGGAGAACTTGCAAACGTCACACAAAAAGACCCCAGGTCCAAACCTGGGTTTGAATCAAGGACCTTCTTACTGTGAGGCAACACTGCTAACCACTAATCCACTGTGATGCCCACATATAAGGCTAATTTTGCAGTTCTGTGTCTCATTCTAGGCTATTAGCCATGTTTCAACAATCCAAGGCATTAAAACTATTTTAAAATTACAAAATTTAAACAAAAACACACTTACTGCAGTCTCCACATTGAGTTTAAATAATTGCAATTGACAGGGACAAATTCCCTGCTTCCCTGTGTATGTCATATGGGCTTATTCCCAAAACTACACAAATCCTCCTGTCCAAACACAACCATATGGTCTCCCAGTTGTTTACGACCAGCTGTGCCACAGGATTTCTGGCAGGACTGCCACGCACCCCCCTCCCCCTCACCCATTCTAGTTTTCAAAATCCTTTGCAACAAGGCCAAAATATTTTCCAAGTTGGCTTGTACAAAAGTGAAAGTGCTCTGAGGATAATTGTTTAGGAAGAATAAATGGAATTTGAGTTTTATAATGGGGAAGTCAGCTCAATGGGTAAAAACAAAGAAACGTTTCCAGTACCTTCTGTGTTTTCATTTGGATATTTTTTGCTGATATAACGTTACAAGTTTACTCTCAGCAAAAGTGCAGCTGTGGTAGTTAAAATAAGCACGTACGAAACAAAAAATATGTACATTTCATTTATTGTTCTGTTCTTGAGAATTTAATTTGTCAACTGAAACATACCCAACAGTTCAGAGTATCTGCTGACACATATAAAAACTTGCAGCTTTCAAAATTGTCTCCTTTCTCTTTCCATATGTGACAAGAAAGCGTGGGAATGTTTCAGCTGATTGGGTATTAAAGCTATCGTGCTCAATATGTTGCAAATGTAATCTTGCCTTTTTTTTTGTTGTTGTTGTTTAAGACTTGGAAAAACTTTCAACTAATATCATTCCCAGCCTCCCAGTTTGAACACAAACAAAACCATAGTAAGTTTTGTGAAAGCAACCTATCAGACCAACATTGACTTTACAGCAAATCAGGCAACAATCTCAAGGTGTGGAAGATGGGAAAAGCAATTTGAACTGACCTGGTTTGGCGGGAGGAACTCATGGTTGTTTTCATTCATGTACATGTTGTCACCATCAAACTAAAATAGGGAGAGAAATGAGAAAATGGTAAGACTGAAGACGGAGAACATAAATTTCAGTCAGTTTTTGCAGAAGCTGAAACAGTGTAGCACAGCAGCCTAATGACTGCAAGTCCTCGGCTTATAGACCCCGATGCTCTGGTGGATGTCAGTAATTACAGTTCATTAGAGACATGTATAATTAGGCCTTGTCGACGCTTGTGTAACTCACACTCTTAGTCTCTCGGCTTCACTGTGTGTGTGTGCAAAAGCGTTCACACACCTAACTGCTGTGATTCCCAAGGTGTCACGAGGCGACAAAGACACAACGGAGTGATAATCACAACACTGAGAGCTCAGCGTTCACTTCAAAAGGATGTCTAGTCAGTCAGCCAGCCAGAAAGTCACTCGTTATAAAGCAGCTCCACGTCCACTGTTGGAATTTTACAGCGTGCACTTTTCTTCTTTTATTTAAAATTGTCCTGCAGGGAAGACTTCAAGGATGGTAAAGTTGGTCAGCCTGCTGGACAGGAAAACCACTTATCAAAGTTTTTTGACAGTTTTTCTTGACAGCACACGTCTTAAAATAATCTAATGCAAATAGTCATGGTTTCAATTCTAATGATTTCTTGACCTTTTCTCTGCCTCCATACTTAAAAGTATTTGGTTGTAATCAGCAAATGTAAATGATACTACGTGACAAAAAATGACAAATCTGTTTCAAGTTCAAGTTCAAGATTCTTTATTTTCCCCGAGGGGCAAATTGTTTCACAGTCAGTAGGCACACATAACATCCATATTAGACAAGACATTGAGACATTAAAATAGCAATACATAAGTCATCACTGTTCATTGAGAAGCCTGGAAATTCTAGAGAAAATAGTTGTTGGCCAGTTACGTGATCATCTGCAAAGAAATAATCTGTTTGAAGAGCTTCAGTCAGGTTTTAGAGCTCACCACAGCACTGAATCTGCACTGGTGAAAGATACTAATGATATTCTCATGGCCTCTGACAATGGAAATGTGTCTACACTGGTCCTGTTAGATCTCAGTGCTGCATTTGATACAGTTGATCACAATATTCTATTACAGAAACTTGAACATGATATTGGAATTACAGGAACGACTCTAAATTGGTTTAAATCATATCTATCTGATAAATTCCAATTTTAAAATGTAAATAATGAAACTTCATCTTACACCAAAGTTAGTCATGGAGTTCATCAAGGTTCAGTGCTTGGGCCAATACTCTTTACCTTGTATATGCTTCCTTTAGGTAATGTTATTAAACAGCACAGGATCAATTTTCATTGTTATGCTGATGATACACAGTTACATTTGTACATGAAACCCAATGAATCCAATTAGCTACTTAGACTACAAGCATGTTCTAAAGACATAAAATCCTGGATGACCCTAAATGTTCTGCTTTTGAACACAGACAAGACTGAGGTTTTAGTTTTTTGACCTGAACATCTCAGACATATTTTTTTCAGTCTTTCGCCCTCCTTGGATGGCATTAATCTGGCCTGCAGCTCTAATGTTAAAAATCTTAGTATTGTTTTTGATCAGAACATGTCTTTTATCCCCCACATTAAAAACGTTACTAGAACAGCCTTCTTCCACCTGCATAATATTGCTAAACTTAGAAACATCTTATCTAAAAATGATGCAGAAAAACTGGTTCATGCATTTGTCACATCTAGACTGGACTATTGCAAAGGTTTATTATCTGGGTGTCCAAATACTTCTTTAAAAAGTAATCAGTTAATCCAAAATGCTGCTGCCAGAGTCTTAATTGGAGTTAGTAGGATAAATCACCTCTCCAGTTTTAGCTTCTCTCCATTGGCTCCTTGTTAAGTCCAGAAGTAAATTCAAAATCTCACTACTAACATACAAAGCCCTCAAAAACCTAGCTCCATCTTATATTTGAGATCTTGTTGTTCTGTATTTTCCTAACAGCACTTCGCTCTCAAATTGCAGGCAAGCTCGTGGTCCCTAGAATTTCCAAAAGCAGAATGGGAGGAAGATCTTTCAGTTATCAAGCTCCTCTCTTATGGAACCAACTTCCAGATTCTGTCCGTGAGGCTGACACATTGTCCAGTTTTAAGACTGGGCTTAAGACTTTCCTTTTTGATAAATCCTATAATTAGAGTCGGTCTTAGTCTACTAGAGGAAAAATTGACCTCATTTCCTTAAATGAATTGTTAAAATTGAATAGTTTTCATTTTATATTATTTATATCTTAACATGTGATTTTTGACCTGCCATTGTGTATCTGTTCCTACCGAACCCAGCTGGTTGAAGCAGATGGCCGCTTGTCCTGAGTCTGGTTCTGATAAAGGTTTCTTCCTCATGAGGGAGTTTTTCCTTTTCACTGTCGCCTTCATGTTTGCTCAAGATGAAAGTTCTGTGATGGAGTTAAACTCAAAGCAGTCTGCTCCTCAGATAAATAATGTTAAATTATTATTTTAAAATATGAATGTTAACTTATTTTATATATGAATATTTCTGTTCAGTGTCCTGAAACAAATTCTGATGTGACTTGGCGCTATATAAATAAACTGAACTGAATTAAATTGAATTGATTGCCACAGGGATAGATGAGTTTTTCACTCTGTTCGTCCTACATTTACAGCAGATACCTGCGTCCAGATGGAAGCAACCTGAACTCACCATGGAGTGGGTGATCAGGATCTGCCAGAATCTGCCTGGTCTTGTTCACTGACCTCATCTTGTGTAGGTCAGTGAGGCTCTGTAGGGCTATGCCAGCAGTTTTGCTGCACATCCTGACAATCTCTGAGAGTTTGTTTACTCTTTGTGAAGGGGAGTTTTGTTTCTAACATCACATTTCCTTTGTCACTGTTAGCCTGTTAGCATACCAACGTCAACTGTTTCTTGTGTACAAACGTACAGACAACAGTTGTGTCAAGTAAATAAACGGCGTTTGACAGGAAGGTCAGAAGGCATGTTGACCCAGATACTGATCTGTGGTGTCATGCAGCTTAGCAGAACAGCAAGAAAAATTTCCAGGGACCTACTTTCCATCCAAGACAAATGTTCACAATATGTCTTGTTTGTTTGGTTGTTGTTTTTTTTTCAAAGCTGTAGAAAAGTATTCTCAATTGCTTCAGTGTTAGAATATTCTCAACAACAACAAAAAAAACATCTGGAAAAAAAAAGACTATGCTATTTATGTCAATAAAATCACGATTGGTAAATATTGTATTACCCCCACCCCTCACTAAATGGATCCATTTAACCAATCATCACCAACCATGTGTTACCCGCAGCTAGGTATCCGCTGATGAACCAAGCAGACACGGAGAGGTGAGCAAAACCTTGAGCTCTTTTACACTGTGCCAGAAAAAATGAACACAGAGCAGCCGTGCAGTTTCAGACCTGAGAAACCCCCAAGCTCTGGAAGCCTGAAGCAGGAGGCAAAAGCTGGGAGAAAAGGTGACAGTCTGAGGCTATGCTACGAGGACATAAAAAGACAACAGGGTTTTCCTAATGGCGAATGAGGCAGCAATTCTGTGTAAGCGGGAGGTCAAGTAGGGAAGATAGTGTTATGGGGGGGGGTGAGAGAAAGACAGAAAACATGAATGAGGGAAAAAAGAGAGGAGGCGAGGGAAACGGCTGTAGCAGCAGTAGTGGTGATAGAGCCTGTGGTTGTTCTGGCTGCAGAGTGATTAACACTGGGGTCACAGCCAGAGACCACAGCTTGAAAGACACAGGCCTTTAAAACACACATACACACACGCTCGCGCAAACACCCACACACTCCAAGACTTTTCCCGCCTCTCAGTCTGATACAGTTTGGTTCCAACCATTTATGAGAAACTGAAAACACACCTCAAGACAGCTTGTAGTGGCTGAGATGAATGGTGCTACTGTAGGGGGGGGGATAACAGGATGGATATGTGCCTCCAGCAGGTTACTCAGTGTTTTTCAAGCTGTGCTCAGGGACTGTGCCACCATCTTTTTATTACGATTGTCTTCCACTGCATGATATAAACTTATATGGTTACAAAATGGTAGTGTTTACAAAATGAATACATTTCATTATTTAGTAGGTACAATACAAAAAATACATTGATTATTTTATATTTGTTTATTTTTGTTGTTTTAAATGTTATCTGGCATTTGTACAAGTGAACATATTTTACACAAAAATATATTTAGTTTTCAAGTCTAAAAATATCTTTCAATCTCTGTTTGAATTGTGACTTCTTGCGGTCACCCTCATTTAACTGACTGTGACCTGTCATCAAGATGGCATCGTTGTTTATTGCTCTTGGGAAATGACTGTGAATGATTCACTATGATGGCACCTTAGTTTACTGTCACACGTGCTAGTGAGATCTCGATCAGCAGAAAAAGTAAATACAAAACAATTGCACAGAATTTCGAGGAGCAAACTAAATGGCAGCAGGACCTTTGTAGCACAATGGGAGGGAGTCACTGAGGGCAGACTGGCTAGAATAACAAACAATGTCTAAATGGAGGGAAAAGGTAAAAATAATCATTTCCTGGCTTTTTGTGGTTAACTACAGTTAAGCTTGTCTTTTATGAATACTCCAACTGGAATACAAAAGAAAACCTGAGGTTATAAATCTCTACATAACTTTAAACAGTATGTTTAAATACATGTTTGTTCTGAGTTTGCATGCTGTGCTGTTGATCCATCAGTCCAACTCCAGATAAAAGATTACAGGAAAAAGCTTCCTCTTTTTCAAAACACGTATATTTGTTTTATTACGTAAAATTAGATTCAAAGATCACAACATATATGCATAGTTACAACTTTATCTAGGTAGCTTAAATAAAAATTAAAGCAGGATCATGTGAAATGCTTTGATATTAACAAGAAAACCAATTTGTTTAACATTTAGTTGGTTCTTAATGTGCTCATTAAAAATGTGACTAATGAACTTTAGCTGTGATACACTGACTTCTTAGCTTATGTGTGGTGCTGCTTATAAACTATTCCTGAACAAATGAACTTTATGATTATTCTA